ACAAACTGAATGTCGCAGATGTTCTACAATATATTAGCAACGGTAGGAATACCAGCATGCTGTGACCTTGCATTAATCCATGGATTCAGTCAAACTTTAGAGACACAATAGTGGACTATTCAAGAAACACCTAAAGAACTGAATATGAAAGAAGATTGGAACACTGCATTTTTTTCTGAATTACTGGAGCTAAAATCTCAGCTCTATGCCATGAAGAGAAAAATTAAAGTTCAAGATCAAAAGACTGAAAACTTCCTCAGGATAAATCCAAAAATAAGAATACCATTCCTGAGATGACAAATTCTTTCAAAGGTATGTGTACTCAACTTGCAAACAAAATGAATGAAGAGCTGAAAGAGAAAAAGAAGGAAGTAGGATAACCTTTAAGCTCTGAATCATCCAACTGATGACAATATTGCCTGTTTATGGCAAGGTTTGGAGCAATTTGCATGTAATTCAGATTAGGCTCAGCAAAGGCATCTACTGAAACATTAGAGATAGTAGGAACTGCAGATGCTGGTGAATCCGAGACAACAAGGTTCAGGGCTGGATGAACACAGCAGGCCAAGCAGCATCATAGGAGCAGAGAGGCTGACGTTTCGGGCCTAGACCCTTCTGAGCTAAAAGAAATGCTGGTGAAGATGATGGAGATGCACAGTAAACACAGCAAGGACTGCAAATTACTCATGACTGTCCTTTAAGAAATAAAGCCAGCAAAGATAACATAGTGAAAGAATTCAAGCAGGACACAAATAAAATTAAACAAGCACCCAAGCAGCATATAGATTAGTGCCAGACTTCAAAGAAAACAAAAGGAGAAGAGGTCGGACTGGTATTAGAGTAGGCTATGATGGACAAAATATTCTAGACAACCAGAAGGATAAAGCTTTGAGAGAACTTGGTGTGCAAATCCAAAAGGTTCAAATTGAGCTGGAAACTCTTAAGGAAAAAAAAAAATAATTGTCAAGAAGATTTGACACTCAAAACAGCTAGAGAAATTAGATCAGCCTGGGGCTAATCTGGAGAAAAACTTGATCGTAGTGCGTCAGGATAAGCAACTGCAGTTCATGAGAGAAAACCTTGAGAATATAAACAAGAGTGGCAGACAATATCACTAGTGACTGTGGCAATCAATGACACCTCCAACAAATACAACCTCATAAGTTCTGGATGTATCAAGAAATTACCTATAATATAGAGGCTCATTGTCTCACTTTTTATTATAAATTGTTAAACTTTATTTTGAAAAGGAGAGGAAATGTATATATGTACTTTGCCTTTAAGAGAGTTCGCCTTTTACCGCATGTGATGTGATTATAAACTATTGTGACTCTGCCTGGTCACCAGTCAGTCTGCTGTGTCTTTGCAAGCTGCACACACAGAAGCCAACTGATTTGTTATAATGCCTGATTCATTACTTGTAATGTGTTTTACTGTTTTCAATCACTAACAGGTGATCGGTTATTAGACCATTATCATTACCATGCCACATACTGATTGTCATTGTCTGCTGAAAGCATCAAATATTTGTACCTGCTGACTTCCACACCACACATAATGTCTAATCCTTCCAACATCTCTTTCTCCACTATGATAAGGTTATCAGGATTCACCACAAAATGCAGTAGTTAGAATGTGAAGAGCAAGGCTATAAGTTCAGAGAGGAGATCAGCCTCCTTTTGCTGATAGGGCATTAGCTTGGACCCATCTGATAAAAAAGGTAAGAGTTACCTCACAACTTGTGAACCTCACCATGTGAGTATCAGCATGTCAGAATGTTCCCTGACTAATCTTTGAGACATGTTTTGCAACCATATCCACGCATTAATTTTTGGGTAGGGCAGTTGCTATGTTGCATGAATAAAAATTCATAGGCCTGGGCAATCAAACTGTGGGCATAAGGTTAAATTTAGAAAGTAGTTTCATTATTAGTGGCTGAGAAACTACTGGATTATCTTTAGCCAAATAAATCTGCTGTTCTGGTTTATATATGACTCCAGGCCCATGGCGATACAATTGAGTTTTAAGTATTTTCTGAAATAATTTTCCAAGCTATTCAGGAATTTCAAAAACTGTAGGAAAATTGTAAAATACATAAAACTGGATGACAATTTTGCATCAATTTGACACCAGATTCAGACACACAAGTCAACACACGGAATCCAGTGACCCTGTAACTTCATCCATACTAACATCAGGAGCTTTGTGCCAAAATTGGGAGAGTTGTCCCACAGCCTAATCAATAATCAACAATTTATACATTATAGCCAATGTCCTAATTGAAGCTAACTGGCTCAGTTATCTAAATACTGTGGCCTAATGAATGGGTTTAGAGCTGAGAGGTCTACAGAAAATAATTCACCTTCTGATGCACATAAGTCTGTCCAGCACCTACAAAGCACAAATCAGGAATGTGATAGAATATTCTACAATTGCCTGGATGAGTGCAACACTAACAACAATCAAGAAACCTGATACTAACCAAAGTAAAGCTCAGCTAATCATCATCCTATCCACCATCTTAAACATGAACATGAGCACTGTGGCTCTAGTGCGTCTCATCTACAACAGGCACTGCAGCAACTTTCTAAAGTTTCTCCGTAAGCACTTCCTAAACCTGTAAAACATCACTGTGACACCAACAGCCACCCAGAGGACAGACGAAAACATCAAAATCTGAAATTTTTGTGCCAAGTTTCATGCCACCCTGACCTGTCACATGCTGCCATCACCACTTAGTTGAATTCCTGAAGCTCCCTACTTCACAGCACTGTGAGTGTACCTACACCACATGGGCTGCAGCAGTTCACAAAGGCAGCTCATCAATCTCTCAAAGGTAATTAGTGATGTGCAGCAGCTGCTGGTCTTTTCAATTTTATTTCCATTCCATCCATGATTGAAACAAAATTTTGACTGTTACAAATAGACATGCCCCATTTTAATTTAATTATTATTATTGTACTGTTTATAGCACAGTTAGATTCATAGAGATCCAGAGCACAGAAAAGGAGCCTTTGGCCATTGAGTGTGCACTGATTAGAAGCAAGCATCGAACAATTCTACTTCAGGTCAGAGTGCTGTGAAACTTGGAACAAAAATTTCAGATTGTGATGTCCTCATCTGTCCTCTAGGTGGCTGTTGGTGTCATAGAGATGTTTTACAGGTTTAGGAGGTGCATTTTCCAGCACTTGGCCCACAGCCTTGTCTGCCTTGGTAGCACAAACGCACGTCTAATTCCTTCTTAAATGACATGAAGGTTTCTGCTTCTATCTCCCCCCATTACAGGCAGTGAGTCCAGATTGCCACCAACCTCTGAGTGAAATAACTTTTTCTCACATCCAACCTAAACCTTCTGCCCCTTACCTTAAATCTATGTCCTCTAATCATTAATCCCTGGCCATTGATTCTTTGTGTGAACACATAATGTAGGCTGTAGTCACATGCCAGTCAGATTACCAGGTTCCCTTTCCTGAAAGGAATTAGTGGATCAGTTGTGTTTTTTTTTTAATTCTGCAATTATTTTAGCTCTCTTCTTATCAATTTTATTGAAGTCAATTTCACAACTTGTTGAAGTAGAATCTGAACGTGTGATCTTTGGGTTGTTATTTTAGAACTGTAACCAAGAGACCCTTGTGCCCATTCCTATTTAAGTTTAGAGGTCAGAGAAATTTATCACAATATTTGAGGAAGTGCATTTCGGAGGAGGTGTAGGCTTTCTGCATGTCATGTAGGAATTAACCACTCAACCTCTTTGAAATTTCATTGCAGGTATCCTGCCTGTCAACAGGCTGGTTTGCCAGAATGGATGACTGCTAGAGTGGAGAGCAGCTGGGGAAGAGATGTTAGGCCATTCTGATAATGCTAGGGAAGGGTCGGACATTGTGTAGGAATGTGTCACACATTGAGGGTTAGAAGATAATAGAAAATCATATGTTACAGGTTTAGAGGTGAACAGGTCTTTGTCGGACACTGGAGAACTGTGGAGAAGTTCACAAAACAAGGTTATGGATGATGAATTCATCAAAGACCCAATGTAAGGACTGTTAGTGTATGCCTATACAAAGAGGATTGGAGTGAAGCAGTTAAGATTATTGATGAAGACATGGAGAATGTGATTAGGTTCAAGTACCTCGAGTCGTCGATGGCAGAAGATGGAATTATGGAAATGGAAAGTGAATAATGAATTATCTCCTATTAGACTAATTGGAAGCAGTGCAGTGAAGTCTTATTTGAAAGAATAGTCGTGCTGAAACTAAAAGGAAGATTCTAAACACAACAGTTGATCTTGTTACATCGTACAAAAGCTTCAAGAAGAAGAAATAACAATTGCATATTAATGAGACACGGAGATGAGAAAGCTGTGTGGAGTAACAAGAAATGACAAGATTAAGGGCCTGTGCATCAGGCGTCAGTGAAAATTGTAGGATTTCTGAAGAAAGCAGCCAAGAAAAGATTGAAATTTTCACTGCCCTTGAAACAGTTAGAGTTAAACATTGATAAGTACCATTCGCAGATTTTCCAAGGGCTGTGTTCTCTGGAAACAGAGACCTTTGGAATTTAAAAGTCCTTTCAGCACATCAAAGTGAACTACTTTCCAAGGGAGCACAGTTTGAGGATAGAGATTTGGCACTGTGTAGCTGATTCTTAAACTCTCACTCACTCAGAATGCAGCTGCCCACCAGGAAAGCTGACTTGCCTCCTAATGAGCTCTGTCAAATTGCAGCACAATTATCTTGTTGCAGAATATTTCCTGATTAGCGAATAAGCAATATTACAGTGCTAATTTCTGAATTAGATTGATTATAATAGTACCAAACATATTTATGAAGTTCATTATTTTTGAGAATTAAAGATATATAGGTATGTCAGTGGTTTTAAGTGACCTTCAGGAATTGTATGATTTAATCCCTGTACAAAGAAAAAAATCAATTGATCAAAGAACAACATACAAACATTACAACACTGCTAACTTGTTATTCTGAAAGGTTTCTGACTGTCAGTCGCTGTACATGCTGTTTGGAATATGTTGAAAACATACAAGACCATGCTTCGATCAATGAATTTCATTCTGTTTTTTGCTGCATTATGTATTGTACAGACAATTGGTTACTGGTAAGTTTCTGTTATTAAAGGTTTAGTTGTTCAAAATTTTAGATATCTGGCGGAGTGAATTGCAATTGGATTAAGAATCCTTAGGCTAAAGAAAAAGGTTACAAAGAAAACAACCAAGAAAATATACAAAATGAGCAGGATGAATGAGGAACAAACTGCAGTTTAATTTTACTGTTTTTCTGAACACCGTTCTGGTCATCACTGCCAAACCTTAGATGTGGAGAATGGGTATTTGACCAAGGCAAGGTGGACAATATCTATGTGAACTGTACTTTAGCATGAGTCAGCAGCCTATCCAAAACAGAGGACAAAAATGAAAAATATATACTTTGTATGAAAGTAAAATACTGAGGATGCTGGTAATCTAAAAGAAACACAGGGAATGTGGGAGAAACTCAGCAAGTCTAGCAGCATCCATGAAGAGAGAAAAAGAGTTAACATTTTGAGTCCAGTATGACTCTTCTTCAGAACTGAAAGATGTTAGAAAATGTTTTGATTTATTCTTTTGACAGAGGCAGAGGAGGGGGCGAAGGGAACAGATGAAGAGGAGGCCCACTGCAAAAGACAAAGGGACTGTTAATGATGGTGTAAAAGGAAATGAGTGTAAATTAAGGTGTCAAACTGAAAACAAACTAAACAAGTCAACATTGGAGGGGAGGGGTTGGTGAAAGATTATCAGGATATGCAGCAATGTAGAGTTGAGGTTAAAATCAGATCAGCTGTGACCTTGTTGAACAGTGGAACACGCTGTAAGGGCCATGTGGCCTATTCTGGTTTCTTGCTCATAAAGTGGGGAAATGGTATCACACAGTCAGTTTCTGAAGTTATTGAATTCAATATTGAGACCTAGACGCTGCAGAGTGCCAAAGCAGAAAATGAAGTGTTGTACCCGAGCTCGCACTGTGTTTCATTGGAACATAAGAGCAGACCCAGGACAGAAATGTTATCATGAAAGCATGTGGTTTATTGAAATGACAAGTAACTAAAAGGTCAGGGTCATTTCTACAGGCAGAGCAGAGGTGTTCCACAAAGACATCATTCTTTCTGCATTTGGTCTTGTCAATGCAAAGGGCACCACACTGCAAGCAGCGAATATAGTCAACCAGATTAAAGGAAGTATGAATTAGACATTTTATAGTTGTTGTGAAGAATTTATAGATATTCCTCTGAGTGTGGTTATATTTCTAACAGAATAATTTTTGTTAGTTTTTGTCGAGAAAATCCTCTTTACAATGAAGCAAGGGGCAACATGCATTGTAATTCAGAATTTGCAGCAACTTATTCTGAAAACTGCTATCATTTCGATTTTTCTCATTCTTATGAACACAATCCTTTTGATGTAATTTGTTATCTCGAAGCTGTTTAATGTTACTGGTGTTAGTAATGCTTTTATCAATACCAATGCTAATGTTAAACATTTCGAAATAACTTTGGTAAATTGGAAGATGATGAATTTCATACATACACATTAATATATTTGCTACGAATAATACATAGTAGAATTTGCAATCCTTCCTGTAAATAAATTGAAAGCAAGGCAACTTAAAGACATATGTTTGAATAAACAAGTTTCTTTGTGATTTTTTGGCAATTAGTCATTTCCTCAAGAAGTGAAAATAAAAGTTCTGAATATTATCAATTTGAAAGAAAAGTACAAAATTTGCAGAAAGTCGATTGATAGCAACTTTGATAACAGGTCCTGTTCAAAGTGTTAGGCTTGCTTTCTCTTTCAATATTGAGTGTTATAAGTTGAGAGAATTGTCAATATCGGGCAATAATATAGCCCAACACATAAGAATTTTTCTAACTTATAATCCATTGGTGAGGCTTATTATTTGCTTATAAACAAACTGGTTATTCCTTACAATCTATAGAGAAACAACTTCAAAGCTGAATGTCTTAATAATTCATGCATTATATCCATGCCATTCTTATTAAAATGTCTGTGAGTGTACTTGTTGACTATGAATTCGCTGTTGTAACATAACCAAGAATATTCAAAACTCTAAACAGCATGAACAAATAAACACCCATTTTCATGACACCTGCATTACTGCAATATTAGTTGGAATTAAGAGTCTAATGATTACATTTTAATACAACAAACATGCATAGGACTTGTACATGGTAGGGCCTTGGGTAGTGTTGTCTAGCAGAGGGAACGAGGGGTTCAGGTATATCGTGTAATTTTTTGAAGTTTGTAGCACATATAGACAGGATAGTTAAGAAGATGATTAGCACACTTTTCTTCATTGCTCAGCCCTTTGAGTGTAGGAGTTAGGAAGCCACGTTGAGATTGTGCAGGACGTTGGTGAGGTTTCTTCTGGAATATTGTGTCCAGTTCTGGTCACGCAGTTATAGGAAGGATATTATTTAGCTGGAGGGATTCAGAAGAGATTTACCAGGATGTTGCCAAGTATGGAAGGTCTGAGTTATAAAGAAAGGTTGAATAGGCTGGGACGTTTTTTTTCATTAGAGGGTAGGAGGTTGAGAGATGGTCTTATAGAAGTTTATAAAATCATAAGGGGCATTGACAGGGTTGATGGTAGGTGTCTTGTCCCTAGGATGGGACATTTCAAAACTAGGGGCACATTTTTAAGGTGAAGGAGAAAGATTTAAAAAAGGCACGAGGGGCAAATTCTTTACACAGAGGTGGGGTTCGTGTGTGTGGAATGAACTTCCTGAAGAAGTGGTAGGCATAATTACAACATTTAAAAGGCATTTGGGTAAGTACATGCATAGGAAAGGTTTGGAGAGATATGGGCCAGGAGCAGGCAGGAGGAATTAGTTTTGTTTGGGATTATGTTGGGCATGGACTGGTCGGACTAAGGGTCTGTTTCTGTGCATATGAATCTATGATCATGAATCCATTATCAACTGTCAGAAAAATCCATCTGTTTTACTAACTTTCCTTAGGGAAGGAAACTCCCATTTGCACCTGCTCTAGCCTATTTGTGACTCCAGATCCACAACAATGTGGTTGATTCTTAACTACCTTCTAACAATTCAGGATGGACAATAAATGCGGGCCTAGCCAGCAGCACCCTCATCCCTTGAATGAATAAAACAAATTTCATCCACATTTTGAACATAGCTTCCAGCATTCTTTAATGAGATCTTTTCTCATTCTTCCAAAGTAATGTCAGAAATGCGCTATTGGAGAAAAATGTAGAGAATTTAATTTTTCTCCAGAAACTTGATATATACTGTCAGGATTGATCCTGCATTGATTCTCATTTTGTGTTAACAAAGGTGACCAAGCAAAATGTTGAACACACTACCCTGTTCCCTGGAGAACATCTCTGTCTCAGGCTTGCTGCAGTGCTCCAGCAAAGCTCAGTGCAAGCTGGAAGGACAGCACCTCATTTTCCTCTTGGGAACCCTGCAGTCTTCTGGACCCAATATTGAGTTCAACAATTTTAGAGCTTGAGCACCTTTTCCAATGCTTTGCCACCCCCACAACCAGGCTTGCATCCATGGGCTGCTACCACACACTACCCATTGTCAGCCATGAATAGTCCCCATTGGCAGCTATTCATTCTCCAGACTGAGCTTTAACCACTCCTTTGTCTGCCCAACTGTTTTTCTCTCTCTTTGGGCTCTACTTCCACCTATCATTTACTCTCCCTCATCCCCTCACCCCATCTTCTGTATAAAACCCATCCTTTTCCTAACTACATCGGTTCTGAGAAAGGGTGGCTGGACTCAAAATGTTAACTCTGATTTCAATCCTTAGATATTGCCAGATCCGCTGAGATTTCCCAGCAATTTCTGTTTCTCTTTCAGATTTTCTGTAACCGTAGTTCTGCCCTTATCACAGTACCAATATAGCTCTTATCAAAGTGATAAATGACATCCTGTTTGACTGTGACAAAGATAAACTTTCCCTCCTTGTCCTTCTTTATCTTTTTGTGGCCAATTGGATCCAAGGAGTCACTTGCAGTGCCATCACTCTGGTGCCACAATCTCTGGTGAACCAAGAATCTATCCCTGGCTCCCTCCTACTTCTCACTTGCTTGCTACTCCTCAGTGAAAACACCTAAAATGACAATTCATTTTTACATGTACTCTGATGACACTGAACTCTATTTCACCATCACTTGTCTCAACTCCTCCACTAAATTAAAGGACTGCTGGATGACTCCAGTTCTGGACAAGCAGGAATTATTTCCAATTAATTATCTGGTAGGCTGAAGCCATTGTTTTCTGAAATCAGTCCGGACTCTGTACCATGGTTACTGAATCCATCTGAGACTAAGCTAATGTGTTTGCAACCTTGGCGTTATATTTGACCTGAGATGAGTTTCTGACCCCATATTTGTGCTATTACCAGCACTGCCTATATCACCTCATAATAAACATAACCCAACTTTGCCCCTGTCTCAACTCATCTACTGCTGAAACTCATTCAGAACTTCCTTAAGTCTAGACTTGATGATTCTTGCACATTGTACCTACCATCATTTTAAGGTCATTCAAAGCTCTGCTGCCCATGTTTTAAATCCCGTGCCAAGTTTCTTTCACCTAATGTCAGTATATTCTGTGACCAGCCCTGGCTTCAAATCAAGCAAAGTCTTGGTTTTAAAATTCTCAACCTTGTTTTCAAATCTCCATGGCTTTGCACATTCTGTCCTCCAGCTCCACAACCTTCCAGAGATGTCTGTGCTCCTCTAATTCTGAACTGATAACCATCTCAATTTTAATCACCTCACCTTTGATGGCTGTGCTTTCTTTTGCCTAGGTTCCAGTTTCTTGAATACTTTCCCTATACATTTTGTGTCTAATTCTTACTTTTGTTCTTCAAGACAGTGCTTAAAAGTTAAGTCTTTGACCACGTTTGGTTATCGGATTTAATATGTGTCTCAGAATCATATTTTGTTTTGTAATGTTCCTGTGAAGTTTCTTCAAAATTTTATTATGTTAAAGATGCTATATAAACACAAGTTGCTGTTTATGGAATCTTGTTAAAATTTATAATACAGCTATGCTTAAACCAGGCCTCCCAGGAAAAAAAAGTTTTTTTTTATTGAAATGATCTTCTAGATTTATTGTAATTTATTTCTGATTTCAGCAAAGAAACAACCTTGGAAATAAATGATCAATCAAATGTGTTAAACATTACCAAAGTAGGAAGACAATTGAAAAGATCATTGAGGAATCCATCACAGCCAATTGATTGCATTACTTCTTCCTGGTCCTCTTGGAGCACTTGCGATCCTTGCCAGAGCAAACATGTAAGTATAGCAATAAAAACTGTTATGACCCCAGTAAACGTTATTACTGGACAAATCAAATTCTACCAGGAATCTGACTTGATAGATCATAACTTTATTTGTTTTGGTTTTAACAAAGTGGTCTCCTGCTGATCCATAAACATGCAGTGCTGCAGATTTTGCTTCAACAAAGCAGAGTTTTATTGCAAAAGGAACTAAACTAAAATAGAATGATCCAAACTATCCACTTATAATACAAATTCAAAGTTTTTAAACACACAGTAAAAGTTTTTGATGACCATGTTACCTAACAGGGTGACGAAACGTCTGCAATCAAATACATCAGCTAGGCGAGCAAGTTTACAATCTCACACAGTAAAAATATAACCAATAATCCCAAAACAGTCCTTTTATAAATTGTAAAGAAACAAAACAGCTTTCATAAAGTACCCATAACAGCACTCCTGGTACAATAGCCAAAACAGCACTCATAAAGTACTCACATCAATGCCTCTGTATCTAACAGCACAATAGGTTTAAGTCACTTGAGACTTCAACTGTTAAACTGAAACTGTGATAGCTTCTTCCTAGAGCTATTATAAACTCGAGCACTTACCTGAAATAAAAACACTTCTGGCACTCTATTTTGTATGGAAGCGACACTAATTCTTCATTCTAAGGACCTAACTCCTTGCCTTCCTAGAGCACTGCTCTATAAAGCCAATTTGTTCCAAGGTCTTCACAGGACTGAAAAACACAACCCCTAATTAAAAGCAAACCTCCATATCTCTCAGTTATGGGTGTTTCTCTTAAACTGAAAAACAACAGTTTCCAGAACTCTGTACAAAACCACTGTGGCCCCAAATTTATTATGCTGAGTCACAAGCTACTAGAATAAACAAAAGTTTATTCTTGCTATAAGAAACCTCAAAAGCTGTTTTTGAAAGGAATCGCTATTGATACGGAAACACTTACAAGTTAATTGTTAATACAGCCACAAGGCATAACCCACCAGTTATAAACTCAAAAACGAGATCCAAACTCGCTACAAGTATCATTAAATATATATATATTGTCCATAGTTTACATCACAAAATCAATGCAAATAAGAGGCCCTTGCAATCTGATTCACAAGGTAGGAAGGAATGTTACACAATGTCAACAAATAGACTGGCAACTTTTTATTCTGTCAAAAAATATTCTTGAAAAATAAAAACATTTTGCACTACCATATTTATGAAAGCTCTTCTACAGATGTCTATTGCTCATGCCTAAAAGAAGCATCTAACTTTTTGCATATGCCTATAAAAGGGCCTGCCCTGGGATTGAGGTTGCCTTTACTAAATTGGTTTACTCAAAAGACTGTCTAGACGCCTCAGGTGTTGCAACCAGAAAAGCAGCTCATCAGTAAAATGCATTAAGGGTGACTCCATTGTCCTGCCACCCTCATCTTGCACAAGGATTAGGGATGAGGCCAGTTTAGGGGCCTCAGGATAAAATGAATGGAAAATTCAGTGTTTCATATTTAGTGAGAGTACAGGTCATTAGAATTGTCTTGAACTAGATGGCTGGACTGTAATGGGGAGACACTACAGATGACATATGCATCCTTAAACTGCAATGAAATAAAATCAGGAATGTTGGAATATAAAAACAAAGTTGGAGCAAAATTACTGCCCAGTATGTATAGAGGTATCAAGTCAGAAATTGCACCTGTCGTTTTACCTACTTTTCAAGTCAAAAACAAGACTGTCCCACTAACCCATCTCCAACAACAGGAAAGAAAGTAAAAATCAAAACTTGTATAAAAGCTCAACGGAGGACCAGTAGCTAGCCCCATCTCGCTTTAACTGGCCATGAATTCTCATACTCATGCAAATGCGAGGTGATGCATTTTGGAAGATCCAATTCAAGAGCGAACTATACAGTAAATGGAAAAGCCCTGAGGAAAATTGATACACAGAGAGGTCTGGGTGTTCAGGTCCATTGTACCCTGAAGTTGGCAATGCAGATCGATAGAGTGGTCAAGAAGGCATACGGCATGCTTTCATTCATCGGACAGGGTATTGAGTACAAGAGTTGGCAGGTCATGTTACAGTTGTATAGGACTTGGTTCGACCACATTTGGAATACTGCGTACAGTTCTGGTCACCACATTACCAAAAGGATGTGGATGCTTTGGAGAGGCTGTAGAGGAGGTTCATCAGGATGTTGTCTGGTATGGAGGGTAGTAGCTATGAAGAGAGGTTGAGTAGATTAGGATTATTTACATTAGAAAGACGGAGGTTGAGGGGTGACCTGATTGAGGTCTACAAAATCATGAGAGGTATAGACAGGGTGGATAGCAAGAAGCTTTTTCCCAGAGTGGGGAACTCAATTACTAGGGGTCATGATTTCAAGGTGAGAAGGGAAAAGTTTAAGGGAGATATGCGTGGAAAGTTCTTTATGCAGAGGGTGGTTGGTGCCTGGAACACGTTGCCAGCGGAGGTGGTAGAGGCAGGCACAATAGCATTATTTAAGATGTATCTAGACAGATACATGAACGGGCGGGGAGCAGAGGGATACAGATCCTTGGAAAATAGGCAACAGGTTTAGATAGAGGATCTGGATTGGCACAGGCTTGGAGGGCCAAAGGGCCTGTTCCTGTGCTGTAGTTTTCTTTGTTCTAACATCTTTATGCTCAATCTTTGTCATCTCGATTTATGTAGTATAGGTATGCAAGACTTGAAGCACCATCTCAGTTTGGTGGCACACCATGTGACTCTTTTGACAGACAAGAGAAACCCTGCACAGGTGTCTGCAGAACAAGGAACTTATGCGAGGGTTTTGTGTGTGCTGAGACAGGTAACAAATGTTTTCAGTCACATGTTATCAAACCAACATGGAAGAACTTAAATTCACATTGTAATATAATGTTTATCAACAATGCAGATAAGGTCTTTAATAGACATCTACACAGTTTGAATAAAATTAACCATAAATTGATGTTAACCATGGATTATCAGGGGGGTGTTTGGGGGTATTCTTGCTTGCTGCATTATACCCAATTGTTCTGTTTTCAGTTTATGTCTTCTCCTGTACCGTGTGGGGGTGTTAATCAAGGAAGATGAAACAATAATAAACCCTACAATTGGAGATCAAATTAAGTACAAAATACACTGGGGGAGAACATTAGTTTATCATTCAGTAAATTACCATAAATCTCAACATCAGTGCATGAAAAATGCCAATTTGATAGATGAGGATCTCCAAATCCTCGATAAAAATTCAGAGAACAGACTCAAAATCCTCTTTAATGTTGCAATTATTCAGGTTACTTTTTGCAAGTAAATGCCATTGCCAATGCAGTATTTACTGTCTATTGCTAAGTCACCCTGTGCACATTAAGGGGCAACATGGAATTTGGGATTAGAGTCAAATATACGACAGACCAGGTAGAGTTTGCATGTTCCCTTTTCTGGAGGACATTAGTGACCCAGATGGGTGTTTATAATAATTTTTAAGTAGGATTCACAAAACTAATTTTATTTTACAAATGGTCTTCCCTGGTTGGGAATAACTTATTTTGCCTTGCAACCAAATTGTCTTTATTTTATCCCAATACCTGAATAACCTTGTTGATAGAGATTTGAAATTGACTATATGTAAATAATGACTGTACAAAACAAATCATTTTTGTGAGTGGATAGAACCGTGGGAAGTTTTTCTGACGTGAACACAAATTAGATAGAGAAGTAGACCTTTGGCCCCTCGAGACTGTTCTGCTGTTTAATCAGATCATAGCTGATTTGTTTGTGTTTTGAATTCCACATTCACATCTACCCCCAATAATCCTTGATTCCCATGTCAACAAGATTTATCCATCTCTGTCTTAAAAATGTTCAATGATTCCACCTCTCTGGCATTCTAAGGCAGAAAGTTCCATAGTCACCAACCCTCTGAGAGAAAAGAAATCCCCTTATTTCTGTCCTGAAAGGATAACTACTGATGTTGAAAGAGTGACCTGTAGTTCTTGAAAAATATCCCCCTCATTGTTAACTAATTCTTACTAAAACTTTTGTTGCTTAATAAAAAAAATCTAGTCTAGATGAGTCAGATTTACCCAGAAGAACATGCTGTGATGTCTCGTTCCTAGGCAGACATTTAATTGAATTCCTATGATGCCCAATTTATAGAAGACACAAATTCCCCATTTGGCCTATTTATAATAGAAATCTAAATAATGCAGTAATATTACTCTCTCTAATATGTATGGTTCAATAGGATTGTAATTTGCAAATTTGTTTTAAGAATAGCAGAATTGTCTAAATACTCTGAAGTTTTGATCCCTAAATTTAGATGTTATATTATGCTGCTTCCACGTAGAGTGAACCACGTGCACATCCCTGATTTATGAATATCTGACTTATAAATGCTTGTGCTTACAAACATGATCCCATAAGTGGTTTTAAATTTTAAAGACCCATATACAAACATTTCCTGTACTTACAAATGGCTTCTTTCCATAGTCCTGCATTGTGTTCCAACATGCAAACAAATGAATTTGCGAATGGACTCCAGAACGGAGACCATAACCCAGTATTGACTGTATTTTAATCAATTTGGAAGCAATATGTTACAACTAACATAATTTTGTAGCTTTGCAATGAAATACATATTCTGTGGACTTTTTTAAGGTCGATGCATTCCTCGCAGAGTCCTTTGTAATGAAGATGATGATTGTGGAGATCATTCTGATGAGAAAGTTTGCAGTAGAGTTAGTAATGCATGTTCCAGAGAAACTGAACAGTATTGGGCTGTACATCATATTGGAAGTGGGTATGTATCTTGTACTCAATCTAGATCTGACTGACATTTCAATACAGCACGATAAATTGATTCTAGATTTGCTGTACTCAAATTCCACAGGATGGTTGATTGAATGAGTAGGACCTCTGTTTCATGTCACGTCCAAAAGACAGCATTTCCAACAGTGCAGCACCCTCTCAGTAATACACTATGGTGGGATAAATGAGCAAGTAATGTTGATGCCAAGCTTGGGTTTTAATTGGTTGCAAATTTCAGAAGGAAGAAATGATTGACAATGTGAGAGTGATACATAGTTTTAAAACTTTGGGAAAGAATGAGTTATAGACAGAGACCGTATGATAAACTATTATCCAACAGTGGTAGCTGATGGAGGGGAGTGGCTTCGCTCTGTTGGCTGGACAGCTGGCTTGCAATGCAGAGTAACACTAACAATGTGGGTTCAGTTCCTGCGCAAGCTGAGGCTACTATGTAGGATTCTCCTTCTTAACCTATCCCGTCACTTGAGGTTTGCTGACCCTTAGGTTAAACCACTACCTGTCATCTGTCTCTGAGGAGAGAACAGCCCTATGATCTGCTAAGGCTATAGTGACTTCACCCTTTTAGATAATGAGGAATAGAATCTAGAGCAATATATTCGAATGAAAGAAGAATCATGGAGAATTAAAATTAGGAATAGTTCACTAGCCCCATGAATTGGTGACTGTATCTGAAATTTAATAATCATTTCAATATATTTACAGATACAATATTTTAACAGACACTCTAGAGGGAACTGTTTTAGACAACAGATATTATGCAGGAAGTTGTGCACCATATTATGTGAATAACGTAAGATTCAGAAAACCACACAATTTGGAATTCTACAGCCCTGAGGTAAATGCGCACTGTGAGAATAATCTATACTTATCTTTTTAAATGTCAAGTTTTTTTTTAAACTCACAAATTTCAAATGTGATTTTTTTTTTAAAAAAGGACTATTTAGCATAGTCAATTAAAAAGAACCAAAAAGTAAATATAACTCCTTTAATGTAAACATCGTGGCATTCGCACACCACTAACTCTGAATACTGGGAAGAAATAACTCTCAAGAAATGATTTAAAAGAGAAGGAAATGTTCAAAAGGTAGAGGCGTATGGAGGTAATAACGCTTCTAAGGGCTCAGGCTGCTGAATGCATGACCACCTAATGAAGGCTTACTTATTGTAACTGGGACCATGTTCCACAGCACACCTTGGCAGAATCTGCGGCTACCTCGAACCTCTTTCTGGTGTTGACTGGGCTGGCTGTAGTCCATACTGTCCCCTTCGGCAATGAAGATCCTGTGATTGTGGGACACCTAAAGCTGGGAATTTTCCAGACTCCTGCTGTCTACGTCAGTGATGAAAATCTAGGCAACTGCATCAAGAGGCTCAGAAACAGAAGTTGCTGGAAAAGCCCAGCAGGTCTGGCAGCATCTGTGAAGAGAAATCAGAGTTAACGTTTCGGGTCCGGTGACCCTTCCTCAGAGCTCAAAAGGCTTGCTCAAGTCTAGATAGACTTTGTCCTTGGAGTTATCTTTAGCCATAAGTTCTAACATTTCTCTAAAGAGTTCAAAAAGGTAAACCAGGCATGATCTGAAACCCTTTCCCACCCCAATCATAAGACCAGGTTGACTTTGTCTAATGACTTCATATTTACCTGGATGTTTCATATTATTGTTTCTGAGAGCAGTCTTCAACATTTTAACATCAGATTTTATGCATAATTATTTTTTAGGTCAGTACTTCTACAATTCTTTAAAAATATCTTTACTTCTATGTAATTGTTTAGCTCACAATTATAATGATTTCTTAAGTGTCCCTACCAAAATGTGACTAGTTTCGTTGGTCAAATTTTTAATCATCCTTGAGTATAGGCTATTGAATCCTGGAAAGTTAACGTCTTTAAGTATTATCAGCAAATTGCCAGAATTGTACGGAGGTGCTGTGGGTCTTAGTTGCTCATTTGAGAATCAGCTGGGACCCCATGTTGCCTTTTTCTAGGGAAGGTCACCACATCAAGCTGTCATCAAGATGGTGGCAGAATAGGGCAGCTGAACATGGGCATATCCGCCCCGACTGCTTTTCTTTTCTTTTTCTTTCCTTTCCTTACCTCTTGTCCCGAGCCCAGATGCCATCAGTGGTGGCGAGAGATCCCAGTACAGACCTGGTGATGCAGCGAGTGAGCCCCTACTTACTTTTCCAGAGTGAACGCAGGACGTGGCATTGGAATTGGCAGCTGCTACCTCAGGGGAGGTGACATCAACGAGGTAGGCCCAGCGGTGAAAAACAGCGCTTGAGGATCACTGACTTTGTCGTTGGTTGGGTCTGGTGCTGGCGGTGGCAGAAGGTCATCTAGAGTCATCAACAAGGTGGGCCCAGTGTCAAGAGATGTGACTCTGATATCGGTGGGTCCGGGGAAGGTGGCAGTGAGGCCGTGGCAGAGGACAATCGGCCCAATGGTGAAATATGGCACCTGAAGTGCGGCGACTTCAATGTTAGTTGGTTCCAGTGTAGACAACCGCGTGTGGCGGAGGAGGGATGGCAGTGTAGCTGCCCTTAATGATGAGCTGGCTCAAGACTGATTGACTCTCTTTAAGCTATATCTTTCTATTTTTTTTTATTCCTTAAACTATCCAAAATGGCACCAATTGGTGGTGACAAATGAAAAGCTTTTCACTGTATTTTACTGTCAAATACATGTGACAATAAAATCATTTATCACACATCATTTGCAACGCAGGTGTCTGACCAGCCAGCACGGGCCTCCTGTAGGATTCAGAACACTGGGAGCAGTAATTACACCAACCAAGACCTGCTGGCAAATCAAAGGAGAACCCAGAGCTACTGCCATTAGAATAAAATTCACTTTAAGGACAGGATAGTTTCTCAATCCCCGGTCACTGGGAAGTGACAGGGAGAGGAGTCCACACAGTGTTGGTATCTGGTTTGGTGGTTGTAGGCAGGGGAAGTGCTGTTGGCAGCAAAAACAGGAGGGTAGCTCTCAGTGGACACCCTACTTCCTGGATGCTGGACCCTGGATCCCTCAAGCAGGAGCTAAGTTCTTTAGAAGGGAGGAAATACAAGACTCCCACCAAAAGCCTGCAAAGGCCTCACAATGATAAGCTTGTCCTGTTCCTGGAATGCCGAGCCTTTTGCCTGCCCCTGCATAATGCCAGAGGCACTGGAATAAGACTTTTAACTGGGTGTTAGTCAGCCACTTAAAGGCTTTGATTGGCAACAAAATGGGATGAACATCCATGGGCCTTCCCCGCAAAGACATAATCTAGGTAGAATCACCTGATTAAATTCCGTGTGTCAACAAACTCACCATGACCAAGGGCAAAATATCAGGCCATTGTTTCCTTCATTTTTGGAGAAGTTTAAAACCATAAAGATTTTACTATGACTTTTTGCTGCTAGCTGTGTTCTTTACATTCCCCTGCCACTTAATTGTGTTGTTCCACTAACAATCTCCACCATCTCATCATTTATCTTCTCAACCTTTAAAGTATTGCTCTGGGCCTGAACTAAAACAGAAGTAATTTATTAGTTGAAAAGCATGCCAATTTATCGATATTTTAATTTAAACACAATTCATTATTGTTATCAATTATCTAATAAATCTGTCAAGATTAATTACTATCAGTAAAGTCGATATGTTGGATTAAAGGTGGCTATAACACACTAGTTACATTTAAAAAAGTCAACTGTGCAGAATAGAGAGTAGAGGGTATTGATCCAGATTGAGTACGATCACTGGTATAAGCAAACGACTTTTCTCTTCTCCACTTCATACAATCCCTACAGTTGGGGACAGGCCATTCCGCCCATCAAGTCCACACCATCCCCGACCCAGATTCACACCCACCCACCCCCCCATTCTATATCTGTAACCATGCATTTCTCATGGCTAATCCACCCAGCCTGCACAGACCAGAACACTACGGAAAATTTAGCATGGTCAATCCACCTAACCTGCACATGTTTGCACTATGGGAGGAAACTGGAACACTCAGAGGAAACCTATGCAGACACAGGGAGAATGTGTAAACTCCACACAGACAGTCACAAAAGGGTGGAATCAAACCCAGGGCCCTGGTGCTGTGAGGTAGCTGTGCTAACCTCTCAGCCACCGTGCTGTCCCTAAGCTATGTGCTGCCCCTCTTATGTCTTGCATTATCATGACTGATCAAACTACCCAAATGTGCTTGACTGAAGCCAACGTGAATTTACCCTTAGGATTTTCACTCCGCAACACACAATAGCTTCCTTCAAGAACATTTCTGTTGTACCATTTCTTACAGATTGACCAATAGTTATACAAAAAATAGAAATTGCAGGACAAACTCAGAAGGTTTGACAGCATCTGTTCTGAAGAATGGTCACTGAATCCAAAACGTTAATTCTGCTTTCTCTCCACAGATGCTGTCAGACCAGCTGAGTCTCTCCAGCAATTACTGTTTATGTTTCAGATTTCTAGCATCCACAGTTCTTTATGTTATTGAGTAAGTATTATATTGGTAGGACGTAGTTGTCCTGTAAAATTCCTTCCTAATATAAAGTGTCTAATGAGCTTTTTGTTTAAATTCTCGAATAGAAATGCACCCTTACATTATTTCCTATTTTCCCTGGTCTGTTAACCACTAGAGGTTGTAGATTGGTTAGATGGAATCCAAGTAGGAACTTTTCTAGTCAGGGTTTATATTAATGTACACATTACAAAACTCCAAGCACACTGATAACATGTGTCTCACATATGTATAAACACGTATATGCACTTAATCAAGTTCTCACCCAATTATCCCTTAATTATCATATAATCATTAACTGATCTATAGTTCCATTTGTTCTGAAGCAAGCCCAAATGATCCTGCTAGATGACAGCATGACCTATTGTAGCAGCTTTCACTTCTACCTTTCGTCCTTAAATAGTCTTTGAGTTCATCCTTCCTTATCTCATCCTATTCTATGTCCTATGCTAAACTTTATAACTCCCTTGAATACCATCCTTGGCCTTTAAATTTATTTTCTTGAGCCTCATTGTATGTATTTGCCCTTTATCAATTGCTGATGATCAAATCTGTTCAGAAAGCCTATAAAAGTTATGCATTACATTGGATAATCATCCAGTCTATTTGTTCTAGTTCCATATTGGACAACTGAACAATGGACTGATTCACAGAATCAGAATCACAGAATTATTACAGCTCAGAAGGAGACACATGGTTTTTGGATCAATTCTCTGAATGGGCATTAAGTGCTACATTTCACAGCAGGTATTCAATATATCTTGAAGGGACATGTTCAATGTTATCTTCATACCATGGCATGTAGCTAATGGTATATAAGTCTCAGTCTCCACCTTACTGAGCCATCTTGCAACATGACATGCTGAAGGAAGAAAGCCACTGCATATCTGAATTACTTAGCATGAACCTAGACATGCAAGTGCCTGTGAGTGTAATGTACAAATGTAAATACCAGGAACTGTAATAAAAATCATTTAGTACTAAATGATGCACATCTCAGTTGTATGTTAGGGCAGCTAACGTAGCTGTCACATCATGACAATTAAAGATCATCAGCTAACACACCAATCACATCAAGCATCATGACTTTGGGGTAGCATGGTGGCTCAGTGGTTAGCACTCCTGCCTCATGGTGCTAAGGACCCAGGTTCAATTCCACCCTTGGGTGACTGTCTGTGTGGAGTTTGCACACTCTTCCTGTGTCTGCAGGGGTTTCCTCCCACAGTCCAAAGGTACAGGCTAGGTGGGTTAGCCATGGGAAGTGAATTGTTATGGGGATGGATTAGGGGACTGCATCTGGGTGGAATTGATGGGCTGAATGGCTTGCTTCCACATTGTAAGGATTTTACAACTTAATGCCATTCTCCCTCCCTTTCCCCACAAATCCCGCATATTATTTAAATAATCATCTCATTACATCATTGTTGGCAATCACTCACTAACGAGTATAATTGACCACCTAGGAATTTCTGTGTCACTGGTCAATGGTTCTGTGATTCTTTGCATGGCTGTTGAGTCCAATTCTCGAGCTACATTTTTGACCACACAATTGGCAGGTATTTCTGGGAGGTGGAATTGGTATCCAACCTCAAGATCATTGGTACTCCTTTCTCTGGTTCCTTTTCTGTACTTCCTCTTGCCAATGGGTGTTCTCCAAAAGTGTGTCCCTTCACACCAAACGTTCCTCCAAGTTGGTGTCTTCTGAGTAAGGATCTTGCAGGCATTGTTGGCTATTTTACATTTCTTGAGGTAAACCTTCCGGGAGTCTTTGAAGAGCCATGTTGTCGTCTTCTCATTTGAGTGCCTTCCCTGAGCAGGGCTAGTAAGATTTTCTTTGGCAGTCAGAACCCTGGGATTCTAAGCATGTGGATAGCCCAGCAGAGCTGGTTTTGGATTATCATGGCCTTGCTGCTGATGCAATTGGCTCCTTCAAGATCGTTGATGTTAGTATTCCTCTCCCCCCAGCTGATGCAGAAAATCCATCTCAAATAGTGTTGGTAGTACTTCTTCAGGGCCTTGAGGTGGTGTCTATACATAGTCCCAAGTTTCTCAGCTGTATCGAAGAGTCAGAAGGACGGCTATCTTATGCACAAGGATCCTGGTATCAGAACGGTTGTCATATTCATTGAAGATTCTCATCCATAGCCATCCAAAGGTGGAGCTCATGGATTGGATGCAGTGTCAGATCTCCATATCGATGTCAGTTTTAGATGAGAGGTATTTTCCAAGATGGAGGAAATGCTCCATGTTTGGAGGGATTTTTCCATTGATCTTAATGGTGGGTTAGCCTGGAACTTGCCCTGAGATGGGTCAGTAAAAGACTTGTTTCTTTTTGAGGTTAAAGCTGACACCAATTCTTTATTATGCTTCCACAGAGGCATTAACTGAAGCTCCAATTCTCTTGTGAGAGAGCAGAGATGACATTGTCATCCGCATATATGAGAGATGTTAGTGTAGTTTCTTCTTGGATTTCAACCAGTTAAAGTTGAAAAGTTTTCTGTCCATCCTTTAGACAATGTCCACACTACTGGGAAGCTTCTTCTTGACAAGATGAAGAAACGTGGCGATCAAGACGGAGGAAAGAGTGGGGATGATGAAACATCCCTGCTTGACTCCTATTTAGACCTCAAAGGAATCCGTCACATTACTATCGATGAGGACCATCACCGACAGCTTGTCGTGGAGAAGATGGAGAATATTGATGAATGAACAATCAGCTTTTGACAGAGACTGCCACAGTACTTGCCCATTGACTGAGTCAAAAGCCTTGGTCAGATTGATGAAGGCCATGTAAATTGGCTGGTATTGTTCCTGGCATTTCTCTTGGAGTTGTTGAGCAGTGAAATTCATGTCCATTGTTCCATTGTTTGGTTAGAAACCACAGTGACTTTTCTGAATGATTTCTTCAGAGATTGGGAGAAGGAGCCTAGCGAGGGTTCAGGCGATGATTTTCCCGGCAATGGAGCGCAAGGAGATTCCTTGATAGTTCCCACAGTTCACTTTGTCTCCATTCTTGAAAACTGTGGTGATGGCAGCAACCCTGAGATCCTGAGGGATTTCTTTTTTGTCCCTGATTTTCAGGAACAGTTGGTGGAAATGGCAGGTAAGTTCTTCGCCTCCTAGTTTGAAAATTTCTGCTAGAATCTTGTCCTTTCCTGTGGTTTTCCATTATTATTATTACACTTTAGGAGTTCTTTGAAGTGTTCTCTCCATTGAAGGCTTATGTTGTCTCTGTCTCTAAAAAGAAATTCCATCCTTACACCACACCAAGTTCACTAACTTGCTTGGGTCAAAAAGCTATTCAAAATTTCTATTTTTTTTCTGAACTATTGCTTCATCTTCAGCTACTCCTGGTGGCATTGATGGACATAGAGGAGCAGATAAACTGGTGGTCTGTGCAGCAGTCCATCTGCACTGGTTGTTGTTTTGATAATGAGGACATCCTTTTAATCTTGGGATCAAATGATGAGAAAGTCAGCAATGTGTCAGTACTTTGATTGTGGATGCCTCTATGAAATCCTGAGCTTGTTTTTTTTTGTTTTTGGCAGAACAATGCCCTGGTGATAAACCAGCTGGCAAACAGGGGAATCCCACTGGAGTTGCAATTCCCAACTCCTTCATTTTCAATGGTTCTTTCCTAAAGTTTGGGGTCTTTTCCAGCCCTGGTGTTGAAGTTCCCAAGGACAAGATTTTTTTAATCTTCTTCAGGGATGTTGGTTAGTATGACATCCAGCGTGGAGTAGAAGCCTTCTCTGGACTTATCAATGGTATCAAGGGTTGGAGCACACGCAGTCATGTTTGTTGCCTGCTGGTTCTTGGCATGTTGTTGATGGAGAGTTGTGAGGTGACTGGTGATGCCAACAAGGAGCTCCAAGAGTTGGTTGAGGAGCTTGCTCTTTATGGCAAATCTAATTCCATGCATCCTTTGGTTTTCATCTCTAGAAGAAGGTGTAACCACCATCTTCATCCCTTAGCTGCCCTTCACCTGCTCTTTGAGTCTCCTGTAGGGCAATGATTATAAATGTTGAGGTCCCTGAGTTCATGGGCAATAAGGACAGTTCTCCATTCTGGACAATTGTTTTGCTTGTTACCATAAAGTTTCATACGTTACATTTTCAGATTTTGAGTTTGACGGTGACTTTCAGACCACAGTTAGATGACCTCATTGGATGTGGTTTACCAGTAAAGAATGAGACCATTTTGGTTGAACATATTTGTGCTGTATCCTAGAGTAATCCAGAATTCTAGTGGTATCCTGGCATATTTACTAGACTGGTTTCAGCAATGAGGCCTTACAGTTACATGGATAGACTGGAGAAGTTGATATTATTCTCCTTGGAGTACAGAAAGCTAGTGGGAAATTTGATTGAGGTGTGTAACATCCTGAAGGGTTTGAATGGAGTAACTAGAGAGAATCTATTTCCATTGGTGGAAACTCAATCAATGGATGAGACCGATTTAATTAATTGCTAAAAGCAACGTGAACAAAATCTTTTCATACAAGTGATAAGGATTTCAAATGTACTGTTTGATAGAATAGTGAACATAGATTAAATATTATCCTTGCAAATAGAATTGGATTAAAACCTTAAAGCAAAAATGCAGTGATATGGGTAAAATAAACTAAGAGAATATAACTAAGTAGATCATTCATTGAAAAAGGGATTGTAGACTTGATGAGTTGTTATAATCAAAAAAGAATTTCTAAATTTATCTTTACACACTCATCAAGAAGCAGAAAAATATATTTCATTGCATGGAAGCTGCACAGGATACTTCATAACATAATTCAGATACTTTAATTAGTTCAGTATTATCTAAATCATTGCTTTGAGAAGGTCATATTTCATTATTTTTGTATAAATTAATAATTTGAAAATAGCTCATTTCATAGTAATGTTTTCTTTTTCATTCCAGACTGAAGGAAAATTTGAACTGTCATTGAGTGAGCATGAATCATTTTCAAATTTTTCATACAGTAGATTTGAATCTAAGAATCAGAAGTTTGGTTTTAGTTTTGGAATTAGCTACCCAAATGTTTTTGAAATTGGACTCAGTTACAATAGTAACAATTTCAAGAAAATGATGCAAAAGCTTCTCAAGAACTCTTCATCAGTAAGTATATAACACTAACATGTTCTGCATTATAGTTGCTGATGGTCTTCATAATTTTTTCTTCCAGGTTGATTAAGAAATGAAAGTTCATATTCAGACTCGGGCAGCTTAGTGGACTTGTGCATAGCTCAAGATATTTCGATGATCATAACTGGGTTAACAACGGAAACATTATGATTGGTTTCACCATTCCTAACCCAAAGACGTGACATATTCAAATTTCTCCTGTTTAATGGTTTCCAAAAACTCCTCTCCTTTCTCCCAGTAAATATATGTTATGCATTTTGATGTGAACCAGATCAGGCTGACCTGACTCCCCCAACCCATGCCATTGTTGAATTGCTGATACCTTAGCAGGTATCAAACAGTGCTTACCATCTAGATAGCTGGAACTCCAGTTTGATTAATTGCATTCAAGAGAAGAAAGAAGGAGATCAAAACAATAAATTGTCAAATGTATTAAGGTAGCAATTGTTTAATTATATTTTAGCTGAACACATTTCCTACAAACAAAAGTTTGACAGTGTTGGCAAATAGGTCAATAGTTCTTGTCATAGTGAACAATGGCATTGAGAGACCACAGGCCAGGTACTGCATGGACCAGAAAAAAGGTGAAGGAGGCAGCTTCTGAGGACTCAGTACTTCCATCCTGAGAGGTCCAGGAGGTGGCTTCTGGGGCACCTGGGGGTTTCTCTGCGGGGATTGTGGAGATGCTGGCTACATGTGCAAGACATGAGAGAGAGAAGGTGTCGCAACCAATGGTAAGAAGTGTTGTACGATGACTGACAGTGACAGTGGGAGTAATATGAGAGTTGCAGTGGAATGATGAATGGTACTTACATGTTGGCAGGACATTGATGACTCTGCATCCCTCCAGGAGCCTTCTCAATTTTCTCCCATGAGGGCGATAAATTACTTGTCATACACATAGCATGAATTATGTCCTGTCTTCTCCTGTAATGAGACAAAGGGAGGGATTGAATGAGATGGAATTGGTGGTAGAGCTGTTAATGCTGGTGCAGGTAGGTAAAAAGTGGTGAGGTGTTCAGAGGGAGTGAGTATGCAGCACAGAGGCCATGAAGGTTTAGTGGTTGGGAGATTGTTGGGATATGACAGCAAGTGAGGGAAGATGTTGCAGCCAATAGTAAGAGCATTAGAGCAGGAATCTTGGTGGGAGATGGATGCAATAGCAGCAATAAAATGAGCATGAGGTGTGAGAGGGAAGGGTTTGATACCCACTCTGGCACAATCGATGAGGTTATTGACTGTTTTAGGGCATTGCTGGTCATTCCTCCATGCCACAGAGAAGACACTGACCTAGGTAGAAGCTTGGGACCAGACTGCCAGGGTCTAGTGGTGTGGCATCCTGTGCCAGTCGTCCAGGAAAATGATGCTTCTCCTTTGGACTATCCCCTCAACCAAGACTTCCAAGTCCCTGTTGGAAAATCACTGTGCCATCTTCCCCTTCTCTGACATATTCCGATTCTGTTTGCCAACAAGCAGGGCAGTTTTGGAATGCCAGTGCTCATCCAGAAGCACTGCAGAGTTTCAAAGATGATGTGGACTCATGCCCTTCAGTGGATATCCATTGAGTGGTGAGCTTTTCCAGGAATGGTGCTTGGTAATATTAGGTCAGAGATGGTATAGGCATGAGTAAGTAGTTAATGTGGCACGTTTAGTAAGATATGGCAATAGAGCTTATTGGTCCTCACCCTTGGAATGCCCCCCAAAACACTAGATGCAACTTGGACTTATCCATAAAACATAAGATTGAACTGGTGGGGTGAGGATCGGAGATGGTAGCGAGCTTTTATGGTAGTGTGTGTGGTGTTATTCAAGTGGTCTGCATTGTTCTTAACAGTTTCGAGCTTCTTGAGTATTGTTGGTGCTGCACTTATCCAAACAGGTGGACAGTGTTTTATCATACTCCTGACTCTGGCTTGGAGAGGGTAGAAAGGTGCTGGTGAGTTAGGAGGTATGGTACATGCCCCAGAATAACCAGCTTTAGGCCTGCTCTTGCGTCAAAAGTATTTATGTGGCTGCTTCAGTTAAGCTTTTAGTCAATGGTATTCTCTGAGATTTGATAGTGGGGTAATTCATGATGGTGATGTCACTGAATGTCAAGGTGATGTGGTTAAACTCTGACTTATTAGCTTAGTCCTTTCCTGGCATTGCGTAGTGAAATGTTACTCATTGCTTGGCGTTGTTACTCAGGCGTTGCTTTTGAGATGCAATTCGATTCGCCAAATATCAGATTTGAAACAAAACACACTTTATTCATACACTATAGATAAAATACAGCAATTAAAGAAGTAATTGGAATAATTTAACTCTATTGGAAAACTTAACAGAATAATAGATTATTTTACAATGAAACAGTAACTGTTTCAATATAGCAATATGCCATAAACACACCCTTGGCAAAAGGCATGCTCAGAAAAATAGATTGTCTCACAGGCAATTCTCCAGCCCAGGAGGAAAAACATCAAGAGAAATCTCTGCGAGAGAGAGTAGCAGGGAGAGAAATACTGTAGCTTCCACCTAGCAACTGCTACTGAAAACTAAAAGTAAAAATCCTGGTTCTATGGGAGCTTGCTCCACACATTCAGGCTGCTTCCATTGTTCCTACATTTAAAAAAACCCAACGCCTCACAAACTTTTCACTCACAGCTCTGAGTACACTGCTTGGTATCTCTCTCTCAACCTTCCTTCACAAAAAAACCCAGGACAAAATACACCTCTTAAAGACAAAGTATCATAACATTAACTGTCAGGCAGCATCATTCATGTGCCACACAGATGCACCAGGGATAAAAGTGTCTAGGACTGGATTTTATATTACATATAAATACAGCAAAATTTATTTTAACTGGCAACTTATGAACTGGCACTGTCGATAAACTGGCAAAAATTATATACCTCAAATACTGCCAAGTTTACTATATTATACTATCCAATTACTATAGTTTTTTTTTAAAATTTATATATATCTTAAGGTAAATATGCTTGTTGTTTCATCAAATGGCCACAAAAGGTATAAATGGTTGATTCAATTTCGAGTCAATTTCTCCTCAAATACCATGATTTACTGTGATGTTAAACAGTTAGTTGAGGGTATGAGTGAGAAAGCTCTCTGCTAGTAAGTTTTATTGAAGGCAAAGTTGCTTTGTTATTTAAGTGATGTATGGTGTAAATAAATTTTAACAGCGATGTATATATTCCCTGCATTATGTTTCTATTACATAATGTGTGCGTTTTTACATTGATTATGTGGACCTTTTCATTATTTGGAATATTTGATCAACTGGCACACTCCTGGTCCCGTAGGTACTGGCTAATAAAAAGTTTATTGTATATACACAAGTATGCATGGGTGTGGATACAATTTGGAAAATTTGCTGGTCATGTTCTTCCAACATTGTGTATTCTGGTTCCTTTTCAGAAAAGAAAAATGTTCCATTCACAGTTCTCACTCCAAGTGGCTCGGTTTAAGGTCAAACCTAGGGGACTCATGCTCCATTATGACTTTTTCCAAAGAGTTAAACAGCTGCCAACTGTATACAGTTATGGAGAATACAGGGAAGTCTTTAAGGACTACGGAACCCATTACATGAGTGAGGGTATACTTGGTGGAACCTATGAATATATTTGGGCAGTTAACGTCGAACAAATGCAGAAAGATGGTATGTATTTTTTAAAAAAATACATTGAAGTATTGAATTACAGTTTTTCATTTTGAGGGCTCAGAAGGTGTTAAGTATAAAGGCATCCATCTTAGCACTATTGGGTACAGAGGTAGTTTCCCAACCTTTAAGCCAGAAAGCCCAGGTTCAAATCTCACCTGTTCTAGAGGTGTGCCAGAACAGGTTGATTAGAAAATAATTAGACATTTGTCTTAAAGATGAAAGGTAGCACTCTGCTCTAAGGAGCTATTTCCTGTTATTCAGTAATTCATAGGGAAGACCTGGGAAAATGTATGAGGCTAAAATCATATTTCAGGAATATGTGCAGTCATTTTGTTTCTGACACTCCTACTCTTTAATAAGAGTCTCTTTTCTTGAAGCCATCTTCTCTGATTTCTCATACTTGGTTATCTCAACATAATGCATCATCCCCAAGAGGATCATGTTGGTGAAGAAAGTAACTCAATTAGCCTAAGTTTCTTAAGCTCCTCCATTGCTGTGCTGAAGGAAATTGCAAAGACCTGCATCAGATTTTCTCATGATCTTCTTTATTATTCTTTGGGAAGATTTTGACTACCAGTAATGATCAAGAATAACCTTGATAACGCACAAATTATTGGAAACTCTGCTAAGGCTCAGGATCATAAGTTGGAAAAGTACAGATTAATCACTCAATTCCAGTCATCAAATTAACGTTTTCCAAAATTAAAACATTAGTCTGAATGTTAAGGAGTATCAGGAATGATTTAGACTTAATACTCTTAATTAAACATTAAACCAGCATCTTAGATTCCATTATTCATAATTAATACATACCCTTACTTTCTATAAACTTTTCACATCAATACATAAAAAGTTATAAGTTCCAGGATCCATAGGGAAACAAATTTCAATGGATAGTCTGTCAGGATAGCGATAAATTTATTATTTTTTTTGCCATGTCAGTAGGCATTTCCATTTTTAGATTTTCTTTTTAAGCTCACTGAATTGTGCCCAACTATATTAAAAATGAAGATAGAAACATATTTTCACTAATGTATTGGAGGAGCTTGCTTCTTCACTGTTGGAGAATTGCTGTTGGGAGATAAAATGCATTCCTTTGCAACTTGAGAGACCTGAATGATATTGTTTAGTTAAAGAAGAGTTCTAACCTTTATATATGTATCTATAGAGTCCTGCAATGAATGCATGGGACTCTTATTCAAGCCAAACAAGTGTGACTTGAAGATCCAAAAGTAATTACACAACTGCTTTGGAACTAATCAGATTGTCTGTTTCGCTCCAAACTATTTTCCTGTGGTTGGACTGAATAGATCATAGATAAGAATACCATTTGGATCGTATATTACATACAGAAATGATCATTTGCAATGTGCACTGGAACTTATTATACTTCTATGATTGCTTGATTAAAATGAAAAATATGGATAAAATCACACAACCTAAGTCCAATGAGTGACAGTAAAGAAGAAACTTAGCTTCAGACCCTTGTGGATGCGCAGAGAGTCGTGTACAATTTCAATAGGTCCTTTATTGATTGTTTTTCTACTGGAATGTGGGATTGAAAATCTAAAGCCAACAATTCAGGAAATCACCAATGCTGAAATCTGGTAAATACCATGAAATGAGTTGGAGATCCCATAATGAGTGAATATAATCTTAAAATTGCAACTAGGACATTTAAGAAAGAAGTCAGGAGGATTTTCTTCCACAGTGGAAATTTAGAACATTCTCTCTTCACAAACTGCATTCTCTGTCAACTTAAATTTTCAAAATCAAGATTGCTAGACCTTTATGAAAAAATAGTAACAGAAACATGCAACAAAGATGAGTATAAAACCATAAGGTATAAGAGCAAAAGTTCACCATTCACTCCATTGAGTCTGTTCTGCTGTTCAAAGAGATCATGACTGAAGAAGTCATAGAGTCATACAGCACAGAAATATACCCTTCAGTCCGATTCCTCCATGCTGACCAGACATCTCAATTTGACCTAATCCCATTTGCCAGCATTTGACACAAAACACCTTTAAACCCTGTCTATTCATATACCCATTCAGATATTTCTTAAATGTTGTAATTTTGCCAGCCTCCACTACTTCGTCTGACAGCTTGTTCCATACATGCACCACCCTAAGCGTGAAGAAGCTTACTGTAGGGCTGTTTATTGTACAAAGTTTATTGTGGGCAGATTGGTACACGTCTTAGATGTCAGTGGTTGCGCTTAAAAGTTGGCTAAACGCGGAAGCTCTGTAAGTCAATTATGAGGTTGATAACATAATGGTGGCAAAAAAGGGGGTAGCATGGTGGCTCAGTGGTTAGCACTGCTGCCTCACAGTGCCAGGAACCCAGGATTGATTCCACCCCTAGGCGACTGTCTGTGTGGAGTTTGCAAATTCTCCCCGTGTCTGCGTGAGTTTCCTCTGGGTGCTCTGCTTTCCTCCCACAGTCCAAAGATATGCAGGCTAGGTGGATTGGCCATGCGAAATTGCCCAAAGTGTTCAGGGATGTGTAGATTAGGTGGGTTATAGGGAGTTAAGTCTGGATGGGATGCTCCGAGGGTCAGTGTGGTCAGTTGGGTCGAAAGGTCAGTTGGGCCGAAGGGCCTATTTCCACACTGTAGGGATTCTATTAAAAGAATCTAAAAAAAGCTACCCCTCAGGTCCTTTTTAAATCTTTCCCCTCTCACTTTAAACCTATGCTGTCTAGTTTTGGACTTACCTACCCTGGGAAAATGACCTTGGCTAATCACACTATCCATGCCTCTCATGATTTTATAAACTTCTATAAGGTCAACCTTAAGCCTCCAACAGTCCAGTTTAAAATAGCCCCAGGCTATTCAGCGTCTCCCTATAATTCAAACCCTCCAGTCCCGGCAACATCAGTATAAATCTTTTCTACACCCTCTGAAGTTTAACATCTTTCCTATGCTGGCGACTAGAATTGTACACCGTTTTCTAAATGTGGCCTCGCCAATGTTCCATACAGCATCAACGTGACATCATAACCCCTATACTCAATGTGCCGACCAATGAAAGCAAGTGCAGCAGATGCCTTCTTCACCACCCTGTCTATCTGCAACTCCACATTCAAGCAACTATGCACCTGCACCTCTAGTTCTCTTTGTTTGGCAACACACCCCAGGGCTCTATCATTAAGTGTATGAGTCCTACCCTGGTTTGCCTTATCAAAATGCAACACCTCACATTTATCTAAATTAAACTCCTTGGCCCATCGGCCTATCTGATCAAGGTTCCATTGTACTCCGAGATAACCATCTTCGCTGTCCACTACACCATCAATTTTGATGTCATCTGCAAACTTACTAACCATACCTCCTATGTTCACATCCAGATCATTTATATAAATGATGAAAAACAGTCGGCCCAGCACCGACTCTTGGCGCACACCCCTGTCCACAGGCCTCGAGTCCGAAAAGTGATCCCCTATCACCATCCTCTGTCTCTTACCTTCGAGCTAATTTTGTATCCAATTGGCTAGCTCCCCTGGATCCCATGTGATCTAACCTTACTAATCAGTCAACCACGCAGAACCTTGTTGAATACTTTGCTGAAGTCCATATAGACAACGTCTACTGTTCAATTTCACTTTTCTGCTTTACTCCCAAAACCCTTAATTCTCTGACTGATTAAGAATCTGTCTATGTCAGCTTTTAATGACACATTCTCACCAGCTCTCTATGGCAAAGAATTCTACAGATTCACAAACCCCTGTGAGGGAAGAAATCACTATCTTAAATGTGCGACCTCTTATGCTAAGATTATGCCCTCTCATCCTCAACTCTCCCACATGGAGAGACAAACGTTCCTCATGCACCCTGTCCAGTTGTCTAAGAAACTTGTATTATTTAATAAGGCTGATTCTCGTTCTCCTATATTCCAATGGATACAGGCCAAATGTACTCAATGTCTCCTCATAAGACTGTCCCTGGTTTCAGCCTAGTGAACTTTCTGTGAACTGCCTCCAATGCCAGTAATTCTTTCCTTAGGGAAAGGTCCCAAAACTGTTCACAATATTCCAGCTGTGATCAGACTAATGCCTTCTACGGTTTTAGCAAAACTTATAAAGGCCAACATTCTACTTGCCTTCCCTATTGCCCGATGAGCTTGGATGATGGCTTTTTGTGATTGTGATGATGAAGACTCTCAAATCCCTCTGAAGCTTTCTGCAGCCTTTTTCTAATTAAATAATTTTCAGCTCCTCTATTCTTTCTGCCAATATGTAATATGTGTAGTTGAGATGAACCACCATTTAATTGAATAATGGATGGTGCTCAAGAAACTCAATGACCTAACTTTAGAACTGTTATGTTCAAAGATAACCAAGAGAACAATGGCCAAAGAATGAATAAAGATTTAAGTTTGAAGGGATCCACAAATCCATAAATTACTGTGCACATTTATTTTTCTGATGTGTAAAGATGTTAATAGAACTAGAAGCTTCACGGGAAGATTCATACATTATCTATAGTGCTTTGAAAGGAATGTCATTGTAACAAAAGTTACACTTGCATCAGAATTTGTGAGGATCAAATGGAGAGATTTCAACTAATGACTTAATAATTGATGGGCATGAATGGAGACAAAATGAATATATTGATATTGTGACATCATTACCTTATTTACTTTATCACCTTTATAATGTTCTCTAAGTCTTATAAATCATTGGGAAGAATTTTGTAATTGTGATGACAGTGAAATTGTCAGTATTAATTCTCAGTACACTTAGGAACCTAACAACAAGTTCTGACATCTTCACATGCAAAATTAAACATATAAATCCAGAAGCTGCTGTCAGTAATTTCATGTTCCTCCATGAAGTGCTGTTTTTGAAATATTCACTGATGGAAATCATTTGAAATCATTAGTCTTGCTACACAAACACTTCAAAAAGTTATGCCTTGTATCTATTTAACAACATATTAAGTTATGGCCAACTTCTCTGGCCTTGAAAAAATAATTTTACATTGTGAAATGGCATTCTGTAATAAGAATTATAAAACTTTTAAATAAGCAAATACATTTTTTATGTTTCCATTTTCCGTAATATTATGAAACATGCGTGATAAAATATGTTCGCTTCTTCCTGGTTTGCTACCTGTCAGAGTTCCTCGTTGTGATTGGGTGCTTAGTCTTTTGATGGCATCACTGTTGCTGCTAGAAGTTTAGCTTGCAGCAGAATAATCTAATGTCGGAAAACGCAAAATCCATGCCACAGAGATCAGCTATCTTTGAGGTCAATGCTGAGCGCTTCATTATTGACTACAATATTCAAGCCATGAACTTAATTTCAAATTATTCAAATGTTGGCTGACAGCATTTATCTTCTTTTAATCTTTAGGTTACACATTGACTGATGCTAAAGACTGTGCAAAGGCAGGATTTAATGTAGGGGCAAACATTAAAGGAGTCTATGTTGCTGTTGATGTCAAAGCTGAAGCTTGCAGTGGGCTTCTAAACATTAATGGAGGTACTTTTAACATTATAACTTTTCATACAAAATTAATATGACATTTTCCCACTATGTATTTTAATTTAACTCATTAATAATCATCAAGCAAGTGGGAAATTTTAATAGCTCGCTTTGAAAACGCACAGTATAAACTGGTAGTGGATCGTGCAGATCAGGAGGGTCCAAATTCAATTTCTAACATGGCTGATCACAACCAGGGAAGCTATTAAGCAATGCAAAAGATTAAATTGATGTATACTTGTTTATTTTTCTCACAAGCCTTGTTTCTCAGTTGGGAAAAGTGGGAGAGTGTTAAAAGAATTAGCAAGGTATTTATGAACTTGTTTGAACTACAACACGAGCACTGCTTGATGGCCAATTCAGCCTGGAGTCAGATTTGATCCTAAAGATCAGTTCTGAAGTACAGTCATTGGACTCAAAGTATTAATTTTGCTTTCTCTCCACAGACGATGGCAGACCTGCTGAAATTCTCCAGTAATTTCTGTTTTTGTTTCAGATTTCCAAAATCAGCAATTTTTTTGTTCTTTGTTACATTTCTTATAGATCCCTGTCAATTTAGTGCCTTTTCCACTTTTCTATTTAACCATTCATTTAAGACAATAGTCCCATCCCAGTTCAGATGGAGTTCCCTCCAGAAACATAGTTCTTTCCTCTCCTAGAGCAACATTAGTATCCTATGAAAAAGAACACTTCATTCTCACACCAACCCCTTAGCCACATTATGGGTGTTCACACTCAAGCAAAATGGCCACTGGGTGAGAGACAAAAATGTGTTCCACAAACTTGAATGCTTACTTTTGGAGAAGTAGCATGAAAACTGATGTAATAGAGGGCAGAATAGGCAGCTTCAATTAATTTTTTCTTCATTAATTCTAATTGTATATCCATTGCCCAAGAGGGTATTTCCAGATCAAAATACACTGAAGATTTCATAGTATTCGTGAGAGGTGGAGCAAGTGAGCATGTGGCTGCTCTCGCTCACAAACAGCTTCCAACTGTAGAGCTGATGCAGGAATGGGGAGATGCAGTCGAGTATAATCCAGAAATCATTAAATTTAAGGTAATATTTTCACCTATTAGAATTAAAGGGAGTTTTACAAATAGTTGTTTGGTACTATAGAACTTGATTACTGCTGAAGAAAAACAGGTTTTGTCAAGGCTTTTCATCTACACTCATCAGGACGATTGCAAAAATTATCAAGATAAGGGAAGGCAAAACAATGTTTATGCTGTAAGAGAGAAGAGTGGTGATTAGTAGAAGCATTGCAATCAAGAATGCACCAGTTAGTGATGACTGACAGTTAACTGCCAAGCTGTGTTTAAATTTTAAACAGGCAAATTGATTCTGGTCAGTCAAGGCTTTGTGCTAAAAAATTAACGAAAAAATGTCAGTCACCTATTTTATTGAATTAAAACAGGTGTCTGTGTGTATACATGTTTTTTCTTTCTGCAAAGAACAAGGCCCTGTTTTAAAATATGTTTCTTCTAGTGCACACAAGTGTACAACACTGCAAACCAAACAGCCAGTTCTAAATTGGCTGTCAGTGAAATTCACATGCTCGTAATTATTTAGCAAATGTCTTTTAAGCATGGGATCACAACTAATGTTGAACACTGTGTTGAGATGATTGCAAACACGGACTGATTAGGGTGTGGTCAGTGTCTTGCTTGTTGTGAGTAGCCAAAGGGATAAGCTGTTTGGTATGATATGCCAATCTTTGGGACATATGGCCCATATACTTAGCACCACATTCGCACTAAAACTCAGATACCACGTTACTTATTTGTGTTATGAGCAGAATGTCTCTTTGGTTTGACACAAGCATGTTGTTACTGGTGAACACTACTGATTTTAGTGTTGCATAATTGCACCATGAAACAGTTAGCTTCATGTGTTGTCCAAACCTTTGGGGTATTTTATCCTTCAGTCTGAGGAAGGCTGGGCACATTTCAACAGCAAAGGTAATGATCTTAGACCTGTTTCAACATTTGCATGTTAAACACAGAAATGATGTGATCGGGGTAGCCATTATCCCACAGGATGGCCTTGATGTGTCTCATTTCAGCATCAAATTTATAAAATGAATGAATGGTTTTGAGCTATTTATGAAGTTGCCTATAATGTGAATCATACAGGACATGGCACTACAGGAATCCTATTATGTTTATTAACCAATGAAGATAGATTTTCAGTACAGAACCCTATGGCCAAGTTTTCAACTAGGTCATCAAGGAAGGGAAGCTCATTTGACTGTTCCATTTCAAAGATGAATTTGAGTTTGAGGGATGGACCCCTTTCAGACACGCAAGGAAATTCTTATATATAATTGTGGATTTAAACATAGCAAATGTAAAATATAAATATCAGAAATATGTAGCAGGAGGAGTTTGTGTGTCATTCCATTGAATGACACTTTCTCATATAACCCAACAAAAGTATTTACAAGAGCTGAGCCTCATCAGAATACGGTCCCACATGATTCACTGAAACTGATTCAACTGTGTGAGTTTCTGAGTGAATATTGATTCAACAATAATGGTGGTCTGGATCGCCATGATATAAATCTGCAGTGGGGATGTCTTTACCCTCTTTCAGTGGTACATTAGTGAAGAGGCTTGCAATGTCAAATGAGCACATGGACACAATAATACTATCAATATGCAAGTCCTGTATCCTCCAGCCATTCACTACAAGCTAGGAACTGACTGCACCCAACCAGCCACTGCTTTCAAAGCTGACAACATGTCCAACATTAAATGTGGTTCTGTGATTGAACAACATTTACTAAATAATCCATTTTGTGTTTTTTAAATATCTATTAGATGTGGGCATCACTGGCTGGCCAGCATTTATTGGCTATTTATTTATCCTAGCTGTCTTTGAGAAGGTGGTGGTTAACTGCCACCTCTTTAACCCAGCAACACTGAAAGAACAGTGATATATTTCCAAGTCAGAATGGTGAGAGGATTGGCAGTGTTATCCCACCTTCTTTCTCAATTGGAGCAATCAATTGGAAAACAAAGCAGCAAAACAGCTATTGAAAGATATTAAATGACCAATTGTTTAAAACCATGTGAAAAAACAGAGCATAAGAGGTTAAATAAATTTTAAGTGACACAGACATTGGCTTGGAAAACTCACGGACATGAAACTGACAGATAGTCTCTCTCTCTCTCTCTCTCACACACACAAACACACACACACACA